TGAGATCTGAGGATCGCGGTTCAAAGCCAGCCCGGGCAGGAGAGACCGTGAGACTCCTATCTCCAAAAAAAAACACCAGAAAACCGGAAGTGGCGCTGTAGCTCAAGCGGTAGAGCGCTCGCCTTGAGCTGAAGAGCTGAGGGACAGCGCCCAGGCCCAGAGTTCAAGCCCCACTACCGACAAAAAAAAAAAAAAAAAAAAAAAAAAAGATTCTTTATATCATCCATAAAACAGAACCTTGGGGAGTGTTTTCTGTGCACTTGTAAATAGTATGTTCTTTCCTGGTTGGTTGTGCAGTCGATGTCAGGTCAACATTGATAATAGAGTTGCCTAAGTCCTGTTTCCATGTCCTTATTTATTCAAACCATTTGATAGGTAAAGTAAACTCTGCCCCTGTACTGAATGGCCTGGGCTCTCCTAGAGCTGACCATAGGTTTTGAGTTGCAAGTCTGGGCAGATGTGTACACATATGGGCCTGTGTGCTCTGGGTGTGTGCATGTGCGGGTCTGGGTATTCTAGGTGTACTGACCCTGGTGCGCTGTCCTGAACTCCTCTGCATGCATATAACACTTAGCATTCTCCTCATTCATCCTTGGATTACTGGTGTCTTTATGTCGAAAGAATCTTCTTGTAAGCATACAATTAGTCCTGCTTTTTTATCCATTCTGATAATTCTTGCCTTTAAAAAGACAACTTTGTGTCTAATTGGCATGTAATAAAGTCCACATATGTAACGTATATAATCTGATAGATAAATGTATCAGAGAATGTATGTCTATATGAACAGCTGCTATGAAGTCTGTGTGGGACTCTTCATGTTGACATGTGTATACAGGTACACGTGTGTGTCAAGCCATTACATCAGTCAAAAGTCAAGAGTATATATATATAGAGAGAGAGAATGTGAGCAAGAGCACCCCCCCCCACACACACACATACACACATATTGCCATTTGGCCTTAGTGGCTACCAGTCTGCTCTTTGGTAGATTTCCACTCCGTACAATTGTTTTGAGCTTGGTTTATGTTGCATCTCATTTCTCTTGGGTCATAATTGGAAGGGGAAGGACTGAGTTATATGAAGATATAAAGAAAAATAGAGGCACAGATCAGTAGGAGAAACCGGAGTCCAGAAATAGATTCAAACCCATATGGACAACTGATATTCAACTAAATTAAAAGGGCACTTAGTAGAGAAAGGATAATCTTTTTAACAAATGGTGTTAGAGCAAATATCCATAGGTAGAAAAAAATGAATGTGAATTCTTCAAAGTTCTGAAACTATGTAAAGCTACAAAACTTGTAAAAAAAAAAAAAGCTGTAATCTCAATACTTGGCAGATTGAGGCAGATGATTGCAAATTCAAGGCCAGTTTGGACAACATAGACTGTCCAAAAAACAACAAACACCAAGCGCCAATAGCTTACACCTATAATCCTAGCTACCAGAATCTCTTTTAGGATTCTGGCCTAAAAGCCAGCCCAGGCAGAAAAATCCCCAAGACTCCATCTCTATTTACCAGAAAAAAAGACAGGACTTAGAGGCAGGGCTCAAATCGTAGGGTACTAGCCATGAGCAAAAAAGCTAAGTACAAGCCATAGTATTACCCATCACCACATAAAACTCCACAAAAACCTCTAAAAGAAAACAGTCACTGGGCTGGGAAGGTGGCTCAGGGGTAGAGTGCTTGTTTAACATGCATGAAGCCCTGGGTTCCATTCTCAGTACCACATACAGAGAAAAAGCCAGAAGTAGCACCATGGCTCAAGTGGTAGAGTGCTAGCCTTGAGCAAAACAAACTCAGAGACAGTGCTCAGGCCCTGAGTTCAAGCTCCATGACTGACCAAAAACAAACAAATGAAAAAAAAACACAGTCACCTTAGGTTAAACAAAGATTTCTTAGATACGACACCAAAAAGAAAATAAATGGACAGATTGGACTTTGTCAAATTTAAGAAACTTTGCTCTTCAGTATACACCATTATTAGAGTAAGAAACAAGCCAGGTGCTGGTGGCTCACACCTGTAATACTAGCTACTCAGGAAGCTAAGATCTGAGGCTCACAGCCCAGGCTGACAAGTCCATGAGACTCTTACCTTCAGTTAACCACCAGAAAATCAGAAGTAGCACTGTGGTTCAAAGTGCCTTGGGCAGGGAGTTCAAGGACAGCCCGAGTTCAAGCCCCATGATGGGGGTGGGGGAAGGATAGAAAACACGTACCGGAATAAAAAAGCCCACAGATTAGAAGAAAATCTTTGCCAGCTATCCGCTAGACATGGGATTAATACCTAAAATATATAATGAGGTCAAAAATTGAACACCAGAACCACAAATAATCCATTTAAACCATGGATAAACAGTCTTCAGAAATACAAATAAATATATGAAGTGTTAATATCCTTATGGGGAAGTTACATGCAAATCACAGTAGCACTAAGATTGCCTCTCACCCCAGTGGGAATAGCTCTACTCCCAAGAAAGCACGTGGCACATGCTGGCACACACACGCGACACTGGGATGCAAGCTAGTGCATCCCTTATGGAAAGCACCATGGAGCTTCTTTAAAAGAGTGGCTTAGGCCTGTAATCCTAGCTTCTCAGGAGGTTGAGATCTGAAGTCTCCCATTTAACCATCCAGAAGTGAAGGTGTGGCTCAATCTCCAGCCTTGAGCAAAAAACTAAGCAAGAGGGAAAAGTCCTGCACACACGCAAGCATGCCTGCGTACGTACACACACACACACACACACACACACACACCTTGAGCATATATATGAAGAAAAGTCAGTATATACCATTGCAACTCTACTCACAGTAGCCAGGCTGTGGAATTATACTAGGTGACTATCAAAGGATGAATAGTTTTGGATTTTTTTGTCCCTGTTCTGGGGTTTGAACTCAGGGCCTGAGGGCTGTCCCTGAGCTTCTTTTGCTGCATTCTACCACTTGAGCACAGCTCCATTTCTGCTTTTTTCTGGTTATTGGAGACAAGAGTCTCGTGGACTTTTCCTGCCCAGGCTGACTTCAAATTGCAATCCTCACATCTCAGCTTCCTGAGTAGCTAGGATTACAGGCCTGAGCCACTAGCTCCTGGCTAAGATTTTAATGTAGTATATATAAACTCATGGGATTACATTGTTTGCAGGAAAATGGTGCTGAGGATTATCATGTTGAGCAACAGAGTCAAGCTCAGAAAGACAGATTTTTATCAAATTTTCTCTAGACCTAAAAAAACATGACATAGCTGAGGCTCGTATCTCCAGACAACCACCAGAAAACCAGAAGTGGAGCTGTGGCTCACAGTGGCAGAGCACTAGTCATAAGCACAAAAGCTCAGGGACAGCGCCCAGGCCCTGAGTTCAAACCCTACATCTGACAAAAAACAAAGCAGGAAAACTTACTACATTGAATACATAAGCAAATATAAAGGTGGGTGGAGCCAGGCACTGTGGTTCAAGCCTGTAATCCCAGCTGCCTGGGAGGGTAGTGGAAGAGGTGATGTGAGACCAGCCTGGGTAACCACACACCTGTAATATCGGCGCAGGCCAGCACAGTGGTCAGTGCCCATCCCCCATGACAGGGACTCATGAGGAGGATTATAGCCCAGACATAAAGCAAGACCCAACCTGGGAAATAACGTAAAAGGAGGCTAGAGGCATGGCTCAAGTGGTAGAGCACCTGCCTGGCAAATACAAGGCCTTCAGTTAAACCAAAAAAAAGGATGAAATATTTGAATAGATTTCACGCAAGGAAAGGGAAATGGCCAGTGCGCAGTTGTGCCAGTCCTGGGACTTGAACCCAAGGCCTCATGCTCTCACTGGGCATTTTCACTCAAGCCTGGCACTCTCCCCCTTGGGCCCCACCCCCACTTCTGACTTTTTGCTGTATAAGTAGAGATAAGACTCAAGGATTTGTCTGCCTAAGCTACCTTTGAACCGAGATCCTCAGATGCCAACGTTAGCTTTTCTTATTACTAAATTACTCCACTCCCACCCCGCATCCTTATTTTTCTTTGGGTTCCAAGCCAGGTTGGCTGTTAAGTGGTTCTTAAATTGGTTAATTGGAGTGTTTTTTGTTTTTGTTTTTGTTTGGGGGGGGGTCATTATGCCAGTCCTGGGGCTAGAACTCAGGGCCTCAGCGCTGTCCCTGAGCTTTTATTTTTTATTTTTGTAGGTTGTGAGGCCTGAACTCACCCTGGGCACTGTCCCTTGGCTCTTCAGCTCAAAGCTAGCGCTCTACCACTTGAGCCACAGCACCACTTCTGGCTTTTTCTGCTTATGTGGTGCTGAGGAATAGAACCCAGGGCCTCATGCGTGCAAGACAAGCGCTCTACCACTGAGCCACCTTCCAGCCTCCCTGAGCTTTTTTGCTCAAGGCCAGTGCTCTACAGCTTGAGCCACAGCTCCACTTCTAGTTTTTTGGTGGTATTAGTTGGAGATAAGAGTCTCATAGGCTTTGCTGCCCAGGCTGGCTTCGAACCTACCAGTACCCAGTTTTAGTTGGAGTGTTCTAAATATTTTCAGGAATTCAGCTATTACATACCTCTGGCAAACTGAAAGGTGAAGGTGTAAATCTACTTAATGTCAGCATAGCTTTTCATTCCTTTCCCCAGTCTTCCTAAGAGCCCATTTGATTAATTGATTTTTGGTCATGGGGCCTGAACTCTGGGCCTGGGCACTGCGCTGTCTCTCAGCTCTTCAGCTCAAGGCTAGCACTCTACCACTTGAGCCACTACCAGCTTTTTTATGTGGTGCTGAGGAATTAAACCCAGGGCCTCATGCTTGTGAGGCAAGCAATCTACCACTGAGCTACCTTCCCAGCCTCCCATTTGATTTTGAGTTCAACATTTACTTTCTGCTGATTTTTCAGTGTTAGGTGCAAAATAGACTTTTGTATTTGGGGGGAAAACAAAAACAAAAACAGCTGTCGAGAAATGAGTTTTTCAGTTTCTTCCTCCTATATGTATTCTGGCAGGTAAGGCCGTGACAGTATAGATTTGAAATGTGTGGTTCAGTTCTGGGCTTACTTTGATAATTGTCTTTTACAGGAAATCCAAAACGATCGAGTACGTCTTGTCAAGATTTTGGGGACCCTGTCTTCAAGGCTAGAAGCAAGTCTGCACTGCACCCATGTGCCCATGCGTGAAGAGTTAGGTTGGAGCGGGCACAGAGGGCACCGCCCCATGCCCCAAGCCAATGTGCTCCTATGAGCTACAAGGCCTGCCTTCCAGTGCTGGTGGTGACCGGCCGTGTTCACAGAAATACCCTGAAAGACAGAGCGGCGATGAAAAGGTGAAGAAATCAGTGTCTGGGGCACAAGAAGGAATCTGGACGGGTTTTTATGAGCTGAGATACTCCCACAATGAGGGGGCCGGGCTAGGGATGGTTGGCCATGGAGAAGCTGCGGGAAGCTTGTCCCCCAGGGGATGGGGGGTTTATTTCCAATAAAGGAGACTTCAAACCAGAGGAGGACGATGACAACCAAAACCCCGGTGGTGGCATGGGAAGAACAGACTTTAAAAGTGAGCCGGAGGGCCCGAGGCAGGCCGACCGTGGGGAGCTGGCCGGGATGCAGGTGGACTGTGCCTGCCGGCCGCCTCCCGAGAGCGAGGATGACTGCGGTGCCCTCTTCTCCCAGTACAGCAGCACGCTCTACAGCGTGGCCATGGAGGCCGTGGCCCAGAGCCTCCTCTCCAGCCGGCACGCCAGCTCCAGGAAGAAGTCTCCCGCTTGGAAGCATTTCTTCATCTCTCCTCGAGACAGTACCAAGGCGATATGCACATACTGCATGAAGGAGTTCAGCCGGGGCAAGAACGAGAAAGACCTGAGCACCAGCTGCCTCATGAGGCACGTGAGGCGGGCCCACCCCACCAAGCTCCTGCAGGAGGACGGAAGCCTGTCGTCGGGGGCCGCCTGCCCCTCCCCCTCGGCCCTGCTCCCAGCCCCGCCCACCGACGGTGGGGACCTTGGCACCACGCTGTCGCCCAACAGACTCGTCCAGAAGATGGCCCCTAAGATCCCATCCCCTGACCGAGTGACGGAGGAGTCCGTGTCTGTGGTCTCCTCTGAGGAGGCTTCCTCCGATGTGTCCGTCGCTGAGAAGTATGGCCGAGATGAGGCCCTGGCCGGGGCCCTCCCCCACCTCCCCCCACTCCATGGCGATGAAGCTGCAGAGAACATGGCCGAGAGGAGCTTGGCCCTTCCAAAGGGCTCGTCAGGGTCTAGGCGGCGGTCAGCCGTCTGGAAGCACTTCTACCTGTCCCCCCTGGACAGCTCCAAAGCGGTGTGCGTGCACTGCATGAATGAGTTCAGCCGCGGGAAGAACGGCAAGGACCTGGGCACCAGCTGCCTCATCAGGCACATGTGGAGGGCCCACCGCTCCATCGCGCTGCAGGAGAACGGGGGTGGCGCCAGCATCCCGCCCCTGTACCCCGCGCCCCCCACCCTCCTGCCCACCCTGCTGCCTCCCGAGGCGGATCCAAGCTCAGGGGTGCCGTCGCTGGGGAAGCTGGTGAGAGGGTGCCCTTCTGCTGCCTCCTCCCCAGACAGGCTGGGCGAGGACCCCGGGGACGTGTCTGTGTTGTCCTCTGACGAGCTCGCCGAGGCCTCCCTGCTGTCCTCTCTGGAGAAGCGGCCGGCGGGCCCTGTGAGTCCCCGGCAGGGGCCGGGGGGGATCTTCCAGCAGAACAAGAAGGTCATGAGGAGGCTCAAGTCGGAGGTGTGGCACCACTTCTCGCTGGCCCCTATGGACAGTCTGAAGGCCGTGTGCCGGTACTGCGGCTGCGTCATCAGCCGGGGGAAGAAAGGGGACGTGGGCACCAGCTGTCTGATGCGGCACCTGTACCGACGCCACCCAGAGGTGGTAGGGGGCCAGAAGGACCTCCTGGGTGCGAGCTTGGCAAACCCTCCGTATGCCACGTTGGCTTCTGCAGAAAGAGCCTCCAAACGGATAGACTTGCCGACAGCGGCCAGAAGAAATCGCCCAGTCCTCTTCCCCGTAAGCAGCAAGAAGACCTCCAAGCTGTGGAACCACTTTTCGGTTTGCTCCGCAGACTCCACCAAGGTGGTGTGTCTGCACTGCGGCCGGACCATTAGCAGGGGCAAAAAGCCCACCAACTTGGGCACCAGCTGCCTCCTGCGCCACCTACAGCGGTTCCACAGCCACGTGCTCAAGGCCGACGCCCCCGAGGCCGCGGGGCCCCGTCCCCCTGGCGTCCGCGCGCCCCTGAGCATGGAGCTCTCGGGGCCCTCCCTCAGCAACCCTGCTGAGAAGTTTTATGACTCTCATCCAGTTGCCAAAAAAATCACAAGTCTCATAGCGGAAATGATTGCACTTGACCTCCAGCCATACTCTTTCGTGGACAACGTGGGCTTTAACCGGCTGCTCGAGTACTTGGAACCCCAGTACACATTACCCTCCCCGTCCTACTTCTCCAGGACAGCCATCCCGGGCATGTACGACAGTGTGAAGCGGATCATCATGTCCCATCTGAAGGAGGCCGAGAGCGGAGTGGTCCACTTCACCTCGGGAATTTGGATGAGTAGCCAGACCCGCGAGTACCTGACCCTGACCGCGCACTGGGTCACCTTCGCGCCCTCCGCCCGCTCACACTGTGAGGACCACCACTGCTCCGCTCTGCTGGACGTGTCACAGATCGACTGCGACTACAGCGGCAGCGGCATCCGCAGGCAGCTGCAGTGCTGGTGGGAAGCCTGGGTGACCTCCATCGGCCTCCGGGTTGGCATCACCGTCACTGATAACCCCAGCATCGGCAAGACGCTGAGTGAGGGCGAGCACTCCAGTGTGCAGTGCTTCAGCCATACGGTGAACCTGATCGTGAGCGAGGCCATCAAGAGCCAGAGGATGGTGCAGAACTTACTGAGCACTGCGCGGAAGCTCTGCGAGCGCGTGCACCGCTCACCCAGGGCGCGCGAGAAGCTGGCGGAGCTGCAGAAGGAATACGAGCTGCCACCGCACCCGCTGATCCAGGACGTGCCCTCCCGGTGGAGCACCTCCTTCCACATGCTCGAGCGGCTCATCGAGCAGAAGAGGGCCGTCAACGAGATGTCGGTTGAGTGCAACTTCAGAGAGCTCATCAGCTGCGACCAGTGGGAGGTGATGCAGTCCGTGTGCCACGCGCTGCGGCCCTTCGACACGGCAAGCCGGGAGATGAGCGCCCACGTGTCCACACTGAGCCAGGTCATCCCCATGATCCACATCCTCAGCAGGAAGGTGGAGATGCTGTTTGGGGAGACCATGGGCATTGACACCATGCTGAAGTCGCTGAAGGAAGCCATGGCAAGCCGCCTGTCCGCCACCCTCCACGACCCCAGGTACGTCTTCGCCACCCTGCTGGACCCTCGCTACAAAGCCTCCCTCTTCACAGAGGAGGAAGCGGAGCAGTACAGGCAAGACTTAATCAGGGAGCTAGAAGTACTGAATTCTACCTCAGAGGACACGGCTACTTCCAATGGCTGTGACTCAGGGTCCCCATCGAAAGACTGCGGCGGGGAGGAGAGTCTGTGGTCACTGGTGGCCAAAGTGAAGAGAAGAGACGGGAGGGAGAAGCTTCCTGAAGACATGGTGCTGGCGTACTTGGAGGAGGAGGTACTGGACCACAGCTGTGACCCACTTACCTACTGGGGCCTGAAGCGCGCCTCCTGGCCTGGGCTGTCCACCTTGGCGGTCAGGTTTCTGGGCTGTCCCCCAAGTACCGTCCCTTCGGAGAAGCTGTTCAGCACGCCCACGGAGGCTGGTGGCTGCGGCCAGCCCAGGCTCTTGACAGAGCATTTTGAAAAACTCATCTTCTTGAAAGTGAATCTCCCCCTGATATACTTCCAGTATTGAACTCGCCATGGCACCTGCAGACTGGAGGTGTTCTAAGTAGCGCTAGCTGCTTTACCAAGGCTGTGGCCCGCCTAGCAGGGCCATGGAGGACGCAGACCAGGCATCGGGCCACTTGCCGCCGTCCCGTCCGCACGTGCCTTACTCCTCCTGTGGGCCAGGTGTCGCCGTGCCGTGTTTCCAGACGTCACTAGACACAGCCTGTCTTGTCCCTTATGAAATAGGATGATCAGGTTTTAATTCCTAACTGTAAAGATTTTTAAAACTTAAGGATAGTCATTTGTTTTCTAGAATGCAGAGAAGATGTAAATAATTTTATTCTATAGGCTTTTTATTCAATTGTGTAAAAAAAAAGCAAAAAAAAAAAACCAAATCAGGTGCTGTATTTCAGTTCAATGTCGCTTTGTTTGCAACAAGACAGCGTTTTTGCTGTCAGACAAACCCTGTGAGCAGGAGGAGGGGGCAGTGAGGCCGTCCTGAGCAGCTCTGTACCGCAGGCCCCCGGGTGTGTGGAGGGGGCTGATGTGGGCTGCAGCCATGACACAGCGTTTGAACGCAAAGCTGAGCTTAGACGTGCAGCATCCATTGTGTGGTGGCCTGGTCCCAGCCCCTCCCCATCACAGGTGTTTACCTTCAGGTTTTACAGGTAACTCAGAGATAACCCAACTATTTATCATGAGCTCCTTGAAATTGGATCCGCGTCGGTAAATTCTACCTAGGATTTAGCCAGTGCGTGGTAACGCTACGTTTACAGCGGACGCCTGTGGGTCAGACCTCCATGCCTGTGACGCATCTGCGCTGTGATACAGCAGTGTGTGCACTGACCCCAGTGTGCTCGGATCCAGCCCCAGGCTCCCCGGGGGCCAGGGCTTCTTGGCAGGGAAAGTGTGCGCTGGGGACGACTGACGCACTCGGACTTAGTTCTGTGACCGGAAAAGTAGCCATCACTGGGGAACCCAGAATCCAGCAGACGTCCGATGAGATAGCCTTTGTCAGCTTCTCTTAACAATGTCTTTATTTTCTCATTTCACATCAGTTACATAGTCCAAGTGAGGCTCATCACTCACCCGCCATGACCTTCACAAGTCGTTGTGTTACAATACTGTACCTCTGCTCAATGAAATTTGCCTGGACTATGCTTTAGTGTATTTATAAATGGTGAACTCAGTTTCTGAAATTAAACTTTTTATTTGCAATTTTCTAGTGCTGGTGAACACTTGAGTTTGTCTTCTAGGGCAATAAAACAGGTGTGATCCTTGGGGGCCAATGTGTGGGAACAGTAACGGCTCTTGAGGTGCCGCCTCTTGGCCTTTCAGATTAGAAACAGCATTCGTTTTTGTTGATGTGGTCCATAGGGCTTGAACTCAGAACCTGGGCGCTGTCCCTGAGCTCTTTCACTCTACCACTTTGAACCACAGCACCACTTCTCGTTTTCTGGTACTTAATTGGAGATAAGAGTCTCACGGACTTTCCTGCCCTGGGCTGGCTTTGAATCGTGATCCTCGGATCTCAGCCTCCTGAGTGGCTAGGATGACAGCAGGCATGAGCTGCTGGTGCCAGGCTGAGTTTGTTTTTTAGCCAGTCCTGGGACTTGAACTCAGGTCCCTGAGCCTCTCTGTGGTCAAGGCTTGCCCTCTACCACTTGAGCAACAGCACCACCTCTAGCTTTTTCTGTTTATGTGGTACTAAGGAATTGAACCCAGGGCTTCATGCATGACAGGCAAGCATTCTACCACCAAGCCATATTCCCAGCCCCAAAACTGCACTCTTCCCTCAGCCTTCTTCCCTCCCTTCCTTCCAGACCTAAGTGTTGAACTTGCGTCTTCCTCCTGTGACGTCGGCGTGCTAACACTTGAGTCACAATTCAGTCTTTCTTCAGTTGTTTTTCAGATCACATGTTTTCTGCCCAGCCAAGGCCAGCCTCACACAGGTCTCCCCCTCTGCAGCCTCATCCGTCAGCAGGACCTCCTGCACACGCTGCCATTGCTGTAGGGCTCTGGCTAACGCCTCCAGACCTGCCCACCGCCACTAGCATTGGACCGCGGGCCTCCTGATCTCTCTCCCTCGTAGCTGCGATGATAGGCCTGGATCACCATGCCTGGGTCTTGAACAGCATTTCTGGTGATGGTAACGCAACTGGAACGTTCCAGGTCTGTGTGTTCACCTGAGGACGTGTCTCTGCAGCAGCTCCTCTCACGCCAGCCTCTGACTGTGCAGGTCAGAGGGGCCTCACGTTCCCTGGGTGCAGCGGGTCTGGCCTGTGCCCTCGGCGCAGGCAGGCAGGCAGCTGCCCGTCCTGCTTCTTTTAGGCCTCTATTCTGAGAGGTACGATTGTTTGGATTTTTGGATATTGGACTTTGGGAATCTTCCGTACTTTAGCAAGTCAGCAGTGCACTCAGAATCACAGGCCTCGGAAGGTAGAGCAGGATTGCAAGTTCACATCTAGCCTGGGTTACATAGCTGCTTTCAGAGCTGCCCAAGTGATATAGGGAGGGGAAGCAAAGGGTGGAAAGGAGCAAGAGAAGTATGAAGGGTGGCGGCCAAGTACCTGCCATCTGAATGCCGTCTCCTGCCAGAGCCTCTGCTCAAGTCTGAGATCTGTGTGTCCCCCACTGGACCCTGGAGCTCACAGGGTGCTGGGCTCATGGACAGCAGAGCCCAGGAACACTGAATGAGTACAACGGACAGCTGCATTTGTTGTGTCCCCCACTGGAGCTGGAGCCTGGAGCCGGCAGGGTGCTGGGCTCATAGACAGCCCAGAAGCATGGAATGAGTGCAGAGGACAGCCACAGCTCCCTCAGGAAAGCAAGGCTTTCCCAGCCACGTCCCCACAGACCCTGCAGGCTGTAATGGGTACCAGGAACCCCTCACGTACAGTGAGGGTGTGGGCCTGGTGTATGCCCAGTGGCCATTGCTGCCTCCACCAGGAGAAAGAGCCGTGCTACCACCTGTGCTTCTTGGAGTTGGCCTGTGGCTAGATGCTGCGATGCCTTGAACTTCATGGCATCCCAGGGGTCTTACGGTGCCCCTTCCCTTCACCCTTTCGAAATTTACCTTGGTCCTTTGGCATCTGAATTTTTGTTTTATTTATTTATTTTTGGTCATCTGTGGGTCTTGAACTCTGGGCCTGGGCCCTGTCCCTGAAGGCAAGCACTCTACCATTTGAGCCACAGCACCACTTCCGGTTTTCTGGTGGTTAATTGGAAGTGAGAGTCTTATGGACTTTCTGCCCAGGCTGGCTTTCAACCACCATCCTCAGATCTCAGCCTTCTGAGTAGCTAGCATTACTGGCGTGAGCCACCAGTGCCCAGCTTTAAAAAAAAAAAAAATTTGTGCCAGTTCCAGGGCTTGAACTCAGGGCTGGGCTTTCAGCTTTTTCATTTAAGGTTAGCACTCTCCCACTGCTGGGGACTCAAAACTTACTTTTTGCCAGTCCTGGGACTTGAACTCCATGCCTGGGTGCTATCCCTGAGAATTTTTTTTTTTGGGGGGGGGGGATCCGGTCCTGAGTCCTGAACTCTGGGCCTGGGCATTGTCCCTCAGCTCTTCAGCTCAAGGCTAGCACTCTACCACTTGGGCCTCAGTGTCACTTCCAGCTTTTTTCTTTTTGCTTATGTGGTGCTGAGGGATCGAACCCAGGGCTTCGTGCATGCAAGGCAAGCGCTCTACCACTGAGCCACCTTCTCAGCCCCCTGAGATTTTTTTTGTGCTAGGCTAGCATTCTACCACTTGAGCCACAGCTCCACATCTTTTTGGTGGCTAATCAGAGATGATCTCACAGGCTTTCCTGCCTGGTCAGGCTTTGAAATACAATCCTCAAATCTCTTTGGGGGGGGAATTTTTACTGATTTTTGGGGGGGTTGACCTCCCACTTGTTTGGGTGGCACTCTACCACTAATAAGCCACACTTCCAGCCCTCCTTTTATGCTTATTTTTGAGACGGTCTTGCTTTCTTTGAGTGCATGCCCAGGCCGTGATCCACCTACTTAAGGCTACTGCTTGGAGCTGGGACGATAGGGGTACCTAAAACACACACTGAGAGCAACAAGTACAGACCTCAACCTTGGACTAAAACTTCCCCACCCAAAAGAACCAAGACTGCTCAGATAAGGCTGATCTCAGAAGCCAGAGGGACACGGAACACAGGAAGCACTAAAGAGGCCGTGTCAGAGACAGAGCAGATTGACAGGCGTTAGGAATGATGCAACACAGGCATGGATAAGTATAGATGGGTATATGCATGAATAAAGACAGGCATATAAACATGGATAAGCAACACTGGTGATCACAGGAAGAGGAGTGAACATGCTGTTTTGGGACAGTGTTGTGTTGTAGGGGTGTGGCAGCTAGCCAGGGAGTCTGCAGCCCATTCCCAGCCCTTGTGGGGGACTGCCTTGGGAAGCATCTGAGATGTAGAAGGAAACCTGTCACCGCTAGGAAAGGCACCTGAGGGGCTCAGGCCAAGGCCCGCTGTAAACAGCCTTCTCTCAAAGGCTCAGAAAAACGTGAACAGTGGGGTGCACACATGTTTGGACCATGCACATACTGCCTGATGTATCCATGCATGTGGCACACACATTGATGTATGCATGTATGTGCACATGCCAAGCGTGTGTACCTGTGGCCTGCATGCACGGTGCATGCTCTATGTACCAAGCAGCCCGTCTAGACATACGTACTGCTGGAAGTGTCACATGGTAAGTGTTTGCTCAGTGGAAATGGCGGTGTCCCAGTGAACCCCATGGCAGAGGCCATCTCCAGAGGTAACTAGCCACAAGACGCCCCGCAAGGAAACTAACGTTTTATTCCTCCCCTAGTCTGGACACACGGAGGTGGAGTGCCTGTGACCCTGGGCCATGGTCTCCACAGCTACAGCAGGAAACACTACTCCCGGGCAGGCAGCCTACGGCAAGGGCAACCAGCAGCCAGGGTGTCCAGAAGCCCAGCCTGGTCCACTCTCCTGTCTTGGTTATGAATGATGATGAGTCTGCCCCCAAATTATCCTGACCAGATGCGGGCCAGGATCACCCCTGCCCGATGGTTCCTGGGGTGCACACAGGCCCCTGTCCCTCTGCTCTCAGTCATGTGCAAGGGTGGCTGTGGCAGGACCACGTCTGCCCCATAGGTGCTGACCAGGAGCACATTGCTGTCTCAGCCGTGCCAGAGAGCCAAGCGTGCATGGCGCCCCGGAGGTCGGGGTATTGTGGGCTGCTCTCCCCGTCAGGACCGCCCGGGAAGCCTCTCCAGGAGCACCAACTTGGTCTGCAGGTTTACATCGAAGGGAGGCAGTTTAGTGAGGTTCAGACTTACACCAGTGGTGCCTGCGATGCTGGCTAGGACCCGGTGTGTGTCCCTGTAGAGCGTGAGGTGTCCAGGGGCTGCTTCCATGAGGATGTGGGTGTAGGCCAGCATGCGGGCCGCTCCCGGCTGCACATCTTCCGACTTGTCATACCTGGGAGAGAAGAGCCCATGTCCCGGCCACGCAGTGCTGCCAGGGGGCCGTGGGTACGCTCTAGGAGCGCACTAGGCACCCGCAACATGTGTGCACCCCCCTGCAACACGCATGTACCCACAGCAATACACATGTCCCTATGCGGGAGACACACCTCCAGGCACCATTGACTTGGAGAAACCGTGACACACCAGTCTGCGCAGCCGCCACGTCAATGTGCAGGAGGACATCTAGGAACAGGCGCCTGGTCAGGGGCAGCCCCTCAGGGCCCTGGGGGCCTGGCATGACCCAGGGGCGTGGTGGACGGGGGTAGGGGTGGGGTGTAGCGCGATGGGGGCGTGGTGTGATCTGGGGGTGTGGCCCGGGGCGTGGCAGCCCCCCCCCCCCGAGCTTGGCGGGGCCACTGACCTTTCCTGGGAGGCACCAGCTCGTGCAGCCGCCGCATGGCAGCACCGCCAGGGTAGTTGAAGTGGGACACGTAGAGGGACGTGGCCGTGTAGGCAGCGTTCGCCACGAGATGGCCCAGCACCAGCACGGCCCCCACTCTGTACATCCAGGACTTTCTGTAGTTATTCAGCCTGCGGGGGAGTGTGAGACACTTGACAGCAGGAAGACCAAAGTGCCTAGGAAATAAGTCGCTTGGACCCAAGCCTGCCTGCTTCTCTGCCAGGTCATGACCTGCGGAGCCCTCAGCCACCGGCCGTGTGTGTGTGTGGCCAGCCACGGTACCTACGAGGCCACCTCACAAGGCGGCGGGGCGGAGCTATGGAGGGCGGAGCTCACGGGGAGGCGGGGCGGAGCTCACAGGGAGGCGGGGCGGAGCTCATGGAGGGCGGAGCTCACAGGGAGGTGGGGCGGAGCTCATGGAGGGCGGAGCTCACGGGGAGGCGGGGCGGAGCTCATGGAGGGCGGAGCTCATGGGGAGGCGGGGCGGAGCTATGGAGGGCGGAGCTCACGGGGAGGTGGGGCGGAGCTCACAGGTGCGGAGCTCATGGAGGGCGGAGCTCACGGGGAGGCGGGGCGCGGGGCGAGCTCACAGGGAGGTGGGGCGGAGCTCATGGAGGGCGGAGCTCACGGGGAGGCGGGGCGGAGCTCATGGAGGGCGGAGCTCACGGGGAGGCGGGGCGGAGCTCACAGGAGGCGGGGCGGAGCTCATGGAGGGCGGAGCTCATGGGGAGGCGGGGCGGAGCTATGGAGGGCGGAGCTCACGGGGAGGTGGGGCGGAGCTCACGGGGAGGCGGGGCGGAGCTCATGGGGAGGCGGGGTGGAGCTCATGGAGGGCGGAGCTCATGGGGAGGCGGGGCGGAGCTATGGAGGGCGGAGCTCACGGGGAGGCGGGGCGGAGCTCATGGGTTCGGAACTCACTGGGAGGCGGGGAGGGGCTCACGGGGGCGGGGCTCACGGGGAGGCAGGGAGGGGCTCACGGGGGCGGGGCTCACGGGGAGGCGGGGCGGAACTCACAAGCAGGCGCAGCCTCTGGCGGCTGCCACGTTGAAGGCAGGGAAGGTGTAGATGATGAAGCGCAGTTCCTTGTGCGGAAGCAGAGAATACAGAGCTACAAAGCCCAGCGAAGGCAGAGTCAACGCGTGAGTCCTCCGGTCCACCGCGCCCAGGGGGACAAAGACCAGACTGCAGCCCAGGCCGCGGGGCAGGGCCGAGTAGAAGTACCACAAGAGCGGGGAGGTCTGGGTCCGCGGTTAAGGAAGCGGGACGGGGCTGCAGGGCCCGGGGGCAGCTGGGTGCGGGGCCACGGTGAGCGGGGACGGGGCTGCGGGGCCCGGGACAGCTGCGCACGGGGCCACGGTGAGCGGGGACGGGGCTGCGGGGCCCGGGACAGCTGCGCGGGGCGCCGGTGAGCGGGGACGGGGCTGCGGGGCCCGGGACAGCTGCGCACGGGGCCACGGTGAGCGGGGACGGGGCTGCGGGGCCCGGGGCAGCTGGGCACGGGCGCGGGGCCACGGTGAGCGGGGACGGTGCGGCCCGGTGCGGCCAGGCCCCACGCTCTTCCCAGTAAGAACACCATCGCGGGTGCCGGGCGTGGCAGGCAGCCGTGACTGTGCCGTCCACTTGGTCTGTGGGCATCGGAAAGCCCAGAGGCAAGGCTCCCCATGGAGAGGACTCCACGCTCCACAGCGCTGGCGGGCAGAAAGCTGGGGACCCGCACCTGCCCCAGGCCGGCGAACCTCCCCCTCCCCCACAACTGGCTTCCCTGGGAGGGAAGGGCCTGGGGTGAGGGGCCAGGGCTGTGACCCCGCCTCCCAGACAACCACAGAGGATACGCCCCAGTTGGAACTTTTGTTCAGGATGGTGTTGTACCAGAACACCTCGCCCTCCGGCCACACAAGGCGTCGCCAGAAATAGGAGTCCACGGCCACCGTCAGTCCTAAAACACAGCAAAGCAAAAGCATCTGGGTGGTGAGCACCGCTCGGCCGTACCCCCGCCTCCCCAGCCACGCTGGCCAAGGACAGACCAGCCATGGAGGTTCCCAGGCAGCCCCTCCAGAATGCAGCGTGGAGACCTGGAACTGACTTCTTGCTCTGAGGTTTGAGCCCAGGGCCCAGCACTTGCTAAGCTGATGCTCATACCCCCCCCCTCCTTTTATGTGTTTGATAATTTTTTCTTTTTGTTGGTAGTGAAGTGTGAATACAGGGCCTAGTCACTGTTGCTGAGCAATTTTGCTCAAGCATAGCGTCTTCTACTTTGAACCACAGAGCCACTTCTGGTTTTCTGGTGGTTAACTGGAGACAGAGGTCTCATATACTTTCCTGCCTGGATTGGCTTCAAACCATGATCCTCAGATCTCAGTTTAAGTAGCTAGGATTATAGGCGTGAGCTGTCAGTGCCTGACCCAGATACCTTTTTCAGATAGCGTCTCTTGCTCTTTTTTTGCTTGCGGTAGCCTTGGACTGCAGAGCTTTCTACCCAAACTTCCTGGGCAGCGGCACTACAACTATGTGCCACCCCACCTGGCTTCTTTGCTGAAGTGAAGTCTTGCCAACATCTTGCCCACGATGGTCTCAAACCTGGATCCAATAGTCTCTACCTCCCAAGTAACTGGGGTTACAGGCACGAACCACTAAGTTACTACACGGAACCTCTCAACTGTGTGTGTGTGTGTATGTGCGCACGCGCGTGCGAGTGCACGCACTTGCGTGTGTGTGCGTGCTGGTGCTGAGCCTAAAGTCTGGGCCTCACACTCTCAGCTTGTTTAAGGCTGGTGCTCTACCACTTGAACCACAGCTCCACCTCCTCCACTGACATTTTAATACTGTGCCAAAAGTTAAGGTAATTTTGCTAAAATCCCATTTTTTCTTCATCTTTGTCAAACAAAGTGACCTGCGGAGAACCCCAGCAAGGCTGACTTGCCTAGACAGAGGAGCCCCGCGGGCACAGCGTGCTGCAGGAGGGTGGCGACGGACATCCTCCGGACATACAGAGCCAGCAGCAGCATGAGGCCCAGCAGCAGGCAGAGCTCGGACCTGAAGACGATGATGGCGAAGGCTGAGAGCCAGACGAAGCGAGCCCACCTGTGGCGCAGCCAGGCCGAGAGGGCCGGCAGCACTGCAAGACACGGGGCCCGCACGGTCACTGCCACGAAAACCCGGGCCAGGAGGAGGCCGGACTCTCACCGCGGTCACACAGAGTAACTCCCGGAGACGGGCAGCCACTCCAGGCTGCAGAGGCAGACACCAGCACGGAGAGAGAGCCCGGTTCCCATCGCCGGCAGCACGAGAGGGGAGCAGGCAGAGTACAGGCGTGCCCGGAGTTGAGTGGATCCAGGCACAGCCAGCTACATACCCACGGCCAGGGCCAGCACATTGGGCAGCGTCCGCGTGCAGTAAAACATCAGGTGGAACTGCGTGGCCGTCACCCAGCAGAACATGGCCGCTGTCGTGGCCCCAAACTGTCTCCTCACTTCCTTCTGTAACGTCCACAGTCCGAGGATCACGCCAAGCCCAAGGAAACCTCTCACTAAAAAATAATGGCAGTCATATGCAGAGGCCGGCTCACGGGACAGCGGCTCTGGCAGCCACCTGCCCGGACTCTGGCACAGCCACCTGCCCAGCTCTGGCACAGCCACCTGCCCAGCTCCATCATAGCCACCTGCTCTGGCTCTGGCACAGCCACCCGCCCAGCTCCATCACAGCCACCTGCTCTGGCTCCATCACAGCCACCTGCCCTGGCTCTGGCACAGCCACCTGCTCTGGCTCCATCACAGCCACCTGCCCTGGCTCCGGCACAGCCACCCACCTGGCTCCATCACAGCCACCCGCCCAGCTCCATCACAGCCACCAGCCCGGCTCCGGCATAGCTACCCGCCCACCCGGCTCTGGCCCAACCAGGGTGGGAAGGGTCTGGGTTTTTGGGAGACACCCATCATCCAACCCTGAGGGGCAATGCCAACAATGGACCAAGGTCAGAATGGAGGGATTTGTGGGGGACACTGCCAGGAGACAGGGAGCCTGACATGAGCCGTCCCAAGGTGGCTATGGAGGGCAGAGTGCCCCCCACAGGGGATGCGTCTCACCTCCTGCTGGTCAGACTGACACCAGAGCACATGACAGCTTGCCCCAGCAGCCCTCAAAGGCCGGGGCCGCACAGCCAGTGTAGGAGTTATAGGCGCAGCCTTGGCAGGAGAGCTGGAGACTTCCAGCAGACCCGGCGTGAGCAGCAGGCTGTCCTCTGCTCCCTGTGGCTGGATTTGCACTGAAGGCTTTGCCAGGGCACACAGGCCCAGCCGCTGGACGCTGCTCCGGCTGCTGCTGCAGGCCCTGCTCTGGTGCCTTCAGCCCCCGCCTTCCCATCCTCCCAGTGGGACTGGTGGAGGGCTGGCAGGGACAGTGAGGACACAGCCTGTCTCAGGGTGACACTGTCACCACCCACAGACTTACTGTGGCTTCCGACAGGCACCCAGAAGACCAGAAACTCCAGACTGTCTCAGGTGAAAGAACAGCCACTGCGTGGGCCTCCCACACTGCGGCTGAGGCAGGCCAAGCCCCACAGCGCCCCCCCAAACCAGGCCACAGCCCCTGCTTGGGGCTCCCCGTGCCTTACTCTACCCCCTCAAGAAGACAAATTGTGCTGCTGCTTGTGACAGGTCAGGGGTTTGAACTCAGAGCTTTGCACTCGGAGGCAGGTGATCTACCCCCTGAGCTCCACCGCCCCCCCCAGCCCTTTTTAAATTTTATTTTCCTAATAGGATCTTTCATTAACAGCTGGGTCACCTATACATCTCACACAGCTGGGATGACAGCATCTACCTTTTCACTTATTGGAGTTGCTCAACTTTTTGGCCCTGCTTGCCTTTGAGCTGCGATTCTCCTGCTCTCTGCCTCTGGAGTAGCTAGGATTACAGGCAGGGGCTACCTCGCCTAGCCAAACCTCACTTTCTTTCTTTTTGGTGGTTGTGGGGCTTGAATTCAGGGCCTGGGTGGCTGTCTCTGAGCTTTTTGCTCAAGGCTAGTGCTCTAACACTTTGAGCCATAGCACCACTTCCAGTTCTCTGGCGGTTTATTGGAGATAAGAGTCTCATAGAGTTTCCTGCCCAGGCTGGCTTTGACCCTTGATCCTCAGATCTCAGCATCCTGAGTAACTAAGATTACAGGCATGAGCCACCAGAACCTGGCCAAATTGTGCATTTTTAAAATCTCTAATGCAGGCAGGATAACCTGGCTGCAGGAATGCAGAGAAACTGAAATAAGATCTGCATGTAACACAGTAAGAATTTACTGAAATGGGCTGGGAAGGTGGCTCAGTGGTAGAGCGCTTGCCTTGCATGCATGAGGCCCTGGGTTCGATTCCCCAGCACCACATAAGCAAAAAGAAAAAAAGCCGGAAGTGGCGCTGTGGCTCAAGTGGTAGAGCACTAGCCTTGAGCTGAAGAGCTGAGGGACAGCGCCCAGGCCCAGAGTTCAGGCCCCACGACCGGACCCAAAAAAAAAAAAAAAGAATTTACTGAAATGGAAAAACAGTCATTGTTGACTAACAAGCCAGGCTGTGGAGCAACACGGGTAGAATGTCCTCAGCTGGTTTAGTTTTTTTTTTTTTTTTTTCAGAAATATGAAACGTTTCTTATGTGGTGCCGAGGAATCGAACCCAGGGCCTCAGGCATGCAAGGCAAGCGCTCCACCACTGAGCCAACTTCCCAGCCCCAGCTGGTTTAGTTTTAAAGTCTGGGTCTGGTGGTGTACAACATGGGAAAGTCAACTGTTTACAACAGGAAAATAACCAGAGGATCCAGGCGTGGTAGAACATGCCTGCAACCTCAGCATTTGGGAGGCTGAGGCAAGAGGAGCTAGAGTTCTAGGCCAGATAAGGCTACACAAAAAGACTCTGTGTCAGATAAACAAATAAATGAAAGTGAAATAACAAGGTTTCCAAAGCCTGGAAAGGCTAAATGTCTCAGATGGAATGCTAGTTGCCCTAATTCGATCATTACATGTCTTACCCACATGTCGAATTATCGAGTAGGAATAGATATAGGTACCATTTACCAACTGGAGGTCGTAAAAAGCTCTCATGCTGGCTTGGAGAGGCCCAGAAGGGTCTGTATTCAGGCCAACCAGAGATCTTGGAGACATGAGAGTCCCTTGCCATGCTGCCTGCTCAGGGGTGCTGCTACAGCAGGAGAACCCTGGGCTTTTAGCACCTGCTCTCCCACTAGCCCTGCTGGAAGGCTCTGTCGCCTGGACATGGTGGAGTGCAGAGGCTTGGGGCACACTCTTGTCCAAGTCTGACTGAGGCTAAGGGGACGAAGGGCAGGCAGGAATGTGAGCTGGGCTCCAAATGAGAGGAAGCGCCTGTGAGGCCGTCCCAGCCGGAGGCTCCTTACCTATCAGCTGAGAAAAGAACTTGGACAGCTCCAACAGCGAAAGCATATAGACCACAGGACTGGAGAGGGCAGCAATCACCAGGGGCCCAAGGAACGTCCTGGGGACAACTCCAGGGAACTCGTGGTGGTCATACTGAAAGGAGAACACTTTGTCAGCACAGAGGCCTGGGGCCAAACCAAGATCTGCATCGTAGGCAACAGGGCCCTCACCTTGTCCACATCCAGCCGGTGGTAGAGCAGGTCGTGTGTGGCCTGCAGGTTAAAGCTCTCTTCCACCTTGGTATATGGACAGGTGACCAGGTGGACAGAGGCGACTGTGACCAGCAGCCCCAGCAGCAGCAGCGGCTGTCCACCCCATGACCTCATGCTGGCCATGGGGGCTGTAAACCTCAGCTCCTTCCTGGAACCAAAGGTGAGAAGCACCCACCATTAGCAATGACACATGAGAACCCGGGTCCCAGGTTTCAGAAATGTTCTAGAGACCACAAGGAAAGAGAAAGCAGAAATCCTATGAGTTGCTCTCCTAACTCCTGCACCTGCCAAAATGGGAAGTTAAGAGAAAAGTCAATCTGAGCGGCTTTCCTGTGCAAACCAGCTCCCTCATGGAGACCCTGAGGTCTGGTGAGAGCCACTGGCTCAGAACTAGTGGAGAACATTGTGCACAGATATGGACTCCCAGACCCATAGTGGCCATGAGCCACGCCGGCTAGAGAGTCAAGTCGGGCAAAATCTGGGCTCAGAGACAGAGAGGCTGGGAGAAGCACTGGAGGTGAACAAAGGAAGAGCATGGGGGCAGCAGGCCCAGCACAGCATGACTGGCAGTGACCCGGGGCCGGGGCAGCCACAAGGCGGTGTCCCCAAGGATAGTGGATGGAGCTGTGGATGCCTGCTGCCCTCTGAACTGAAAACCTAGACAGGCCCAGGACCAGCACTGACAAAGGTGACCAGACTCTTGGCATCTCAGAGTAGAAATAGCCCCAAAGGTCATCTTGTCCCTGTCAACTCCAAAGGCCTCCACCGAAACATTTCAGGTCACCTCTTCAAACGACCCAACTGCAAATGAGACCTGCTGCCAACCACAAACCAGACACAACTGCCCTCTTTGTACTGAAGACAGCCCTTCCCTACCCGCAGACAGGCCTGCTCTACAGCCAGGGCGCACTTCTACTATTCCCCATTTAGATTATTTTTGACAGTGTGGGTGCACTGCTTCTGGCACACATGGAGCTTCAGGTTCCTCACCCACTACAAAGGCAGAGGAGGGGTCCCGCGGGGGAGGGAGCTCCGAGGGGCAGGGGGCTCCACGGGGGAGGGGTCCTGCCGGGGAAGGGGAGGGGCCCAGGCGAGGTGAGGTCCGGACGCCGGGTCAGGAGCCCGATCCCAGCCCCGCGTCCAGTACGGGTCAGGCTCGGCCACGGGCTCGACCCCGGGCGCCCGGCCGCGCCACCCTCCGAAAGCCCAGGCCTCGCAGCGCTCGCTAACCTGTCCCGACCAGCAGCGGCCTCTCCGAGCCCCGCGGCGTGCGCTACTTCCGGCCGGAAGCGGCGCGGCGGACACAGGATGTAGAAGCGAAACCCTTGCCAGAACGTCTCATGGCCGCCCGAACTCAGGCTGCCCGGCGGCGGGGTGCCCTCCCCGCCCGGAGTAAAGATGTCCGCGACGAGCCGCCGCGGGGGCGGGGCTCGGGGGCGGGGCTCGGGGAGGGCGGGACCCAAGGGAGGCTGGGTTTCCTAGGCCCGCCCCTTTCTCGCGGGACGCTGACCCGGGGCCTTCCCATTGGCCGCCTCTCGTGGCGAGCTTGAATTGGGCCACATCAAGCCGCGACGGATGCTCCTAGCCAATAGCGGCGCGCGGGCTGGGCGGGGCCTCGGCGGGACTCTCTAGTAGCCGGGGGAACGGCCGGCGTGCTGGCCCGGGGGGCGGAGGCCGAACGGTCCGCCGCGCTTCGCCGGGAGTCGTCCTCCCGCCCGCCCGCCCGCCATGCGCCTGCCGCCCCGGGCCTCGCTCGGGCTGCTACTGCTGCTGCTGCTGTCGCCCGCAGCCGGCACTACCCGGAAGCCGACTCCCTGCCAGCAGTGCCGGAACCTGGTGGACAAGTTCCTGCAGGTGGGCGGCCGGCGGGGCGGGGGTCCGTGGGTCTGGCCGGGGTCTGTGGGTCTGGCCGGGGTCCGTGGGCCTGGCCGGAGTCTGTGCGCCAGGCCGGGTGGTGAGGTGGGGGTCCGTGGGTCTGGCCGGGGTCCGTGGGTCTGGCCGGAGTCTGTGCGCCAGGCCGGGTGGTGAGGTGGGGATCCGTGGACCAGGCTGGGGTCCGTGGGCCAGGCCGGGGTCTGTGGGTCTGGCCGGGTGGTGAGGTGAGGGTCCGTGGGCCAGGCCGGGGTCCGTGGACCAGGCTGGGGTCCGTGGGCCAGGCCGGGGTCTGTGGGTCTGGCCGGGTGGTGAGGTGGGGATCCGTGGACCAGGCTGGGGTCCGTGGGCCAGGCCGGGGTCTGTGGGTCTGGCCGGGTGGTGAGGTGGGGGTCCGTGGGCCAGGCCGGGGTCCGTGGACCAAACTGGGGTCCGTGGGCCTGGCCGGGAGGCAGGGCCGCCCCCGGGGGCTCGTGTCACCGCGGCGGCCGACGCTGCCACCTCCTCCTCCACAGGGGATGGCCAACACGGCCAAAAAGAACTTCGGAGGCGGCAACACAGCCTGGGAGGAAAAGACGCTGTCCAAGTACGAGTTCAGGTGAGCCCTGCTGCGCCTGGCCGGCCCTGACCAGAGAAGCCCAGCGTGCCCTTGGGGACCCGCGCTGGCCCTGGGGCCCTTTGGAAGCCGGCTGTGCCACCTCTGCTCCGGCCTGGGTCTTTTACTGGCCCATGGCCACACTGGACGGCCTTTGTAAAGCCTCAGGCCATCTGTGGAAGATCCTGCCCTCCTCCCTTCCCCCGTGGAAGAGGCCCCTTCCCCTCCCTATCCAGACTGCAGCCCTGCTGAGGTGCCTGACTGCTTTCCCCTTCTCCCCTTGGTTAGCCCATCCCCTCCCTGCCTCCCACCCCCTCTCCAGCCCCACACTGACTGAGCTGTGATGGTTCAGGTGTGTCTTCAGTAAGTGGTTGTGCTCCCCACCTGCCCCAGGCTGACCTCAGAAGACCTCTGTAAAAAGAGCAGACTGAGCTGGGCATGGCTGTCATCCTAGCTACTCAGGAGGCTGAGATCTGAGGGTCAAGGTTCAAAGCCAACCCGGGCAGGAAAGTTCATGAGACTCTTCAATAAACCACAGAAAGCTGAAAAGCTGGAAGTGGAACTGTGGCTCAAGTGGCAGAGCACTAGCCTTGAGCATAAAAGCTCAGGGACAGTGCCCAGGCCCTGAGTTCAAGCCCCAGGACTGTTGAGAAAGATTGAAAGGGAGGGAGAGGGAGAGAGAGGACTGAGCTTTAGGGTGCTGATGGTGTGTGTTTCAGTGAGGTCCGGCTCGTGGAGATCCTGGAGGGCCTTTGCGAGAGCAGTGACTTCGAGTGCAACCAGATGCTAGAAGAGCATGAGGAGCAGCTGGAGGACTGGTGGCTGCAGCTGTGAGTCCCACCCCTCTGTCTTCACAAACTGGCTGTGCCTCCCTGCCCACCGTACAGTCCCGTCCCGTTCCCCCTCACCCAGTCTTTATGCCTGCAGGGTACAGTCAGTGCCCTGCCCAGTGCTCTGCCTGAGTTCTAGTTCCCCAGGCCCACCTCTAGTTGGAGATAGTCACAGACAATCCCAACGATAAACAATTCATGAGTTTTATTACAGAGTATCACTGTATCTGTTCATTTTTATGGTAAATGTTCCTCCACTTTGTAAGCTGAACTTATAGGTATGCTTGTGTACACTCTGGCAATTTTGGAGTCTGACTGCCCCATGCTTCAGTCACAGGCCTGGAACAACACCCCCATAGATGTGGGAGAGATGGCTGCATTGTATTATGTTGCATTTGTGCTGTTTGTGTTCTTTGGAGCTGACAAGTGCCCTCCCACCGAGCCATCATTTCGTTTTAAAGAATCAGTCACTTGAAGCTGGCACCAGTGGCCCATGTCTGTAAGCTTAGCTACGCAGAAGGCTGAGATCTGGAGGATCAAGATTCAGAGCTAGTGTGGGCAGAGAAGTCCATGAGTCTCCAGTTAACCAGGAGAAGGCCAGGGTAGATGCCTGGCTCAAGTGGTATAGCATCAGCTGGGCAAGAAATCTCAGCAAAGGTGCAAGGCCCTGAAGTTAATAACACCCTGGCTGTCCAGCGCGTGCATGTGTGTGTGTGCATGCACACACACACACCACTTAAGATTTAATGAATGTTTCCAAATCCTTAGGAAGAATGCACATCCTGACCTATTTGAGTGGTTCTGTGTGCGGACGCTGAAGGTGTGCTGCGCTCAGGGGACCTATGGGCCAGACTGTCGAGGTACTACTTTCTTTGCGGGGGGGAAAACAGCCCCAGGTCTGCATTGTTCCCTTCCCCCCTCTGACTCCCTCACCTTTAAAGGCACACAGGGGACCTGGGCTGTATTAGCTCCCGGCCTCTTCCCTAGGACAGCAATGTCCACTCTCTGAGGCATCTGGGCACCTCCCGGGCTCTGGGAATTCTCACGTGGGCGGAGACCCGAGAGCCCTTAGACCACTGTGGCTCTCATGAAGGGATGGTAGACTGTGTAACCCACCATATTGTAAAGACACACTGCGTGGCAAAGACCGAGCGTCAAGGGTCAAGGGTGGTGGTGTGCTGGGCCATCTCTTCTGTGCCTTTCCACTGGAGCCAGTTTCCTGCCGGGCTACAGAAGCCAACTGTGCCTGTCAAGGCACATTAGATGGCTGCTCTTTGCCTGTCTCATTTTCTGTTTGCCCATCCTGGGGCTTGGACTCAGGGCCTGGGCACTGTCCCTGAGTTTTTTGTGCTCAAGGCTAATACTCTACCACTTGAGCCACAGCTCTACTTCTGGCTTTTTGGTGATTAGTTGGAGATGAGAGTCTCATAGATTTTCCTGACTAGGTTGGCTTTGAACCTTGACCCTCAGATCTCAGCCTCCTGAGTAGCTAGGATTCTAAATGGGAGCCACCGGCCCTGTGTGCTAACTAGCAGCCCCACCTGCCTGATAAACATTCTCCTTGTCTGTTTCTGGTGAGGCTGTCATGAAGTTGGGGCTGCAGCTTGCTCCTGTGTAGGCAGGCCGGGTGTCCTCCCCTAAGTGGGAAGGACTGCTGCCCATGTGTGGTGTGCTAAGTGTGGGTTTGTGTTCCCCAAGCCTGCCAGGGTGGCGCCGAGAGGCCCTGCAGCGGGAACGGCCACTGCCGGGGAGATGGCACCCGGCACGGGGACGGGTCTTGCCAGTGCCACTTGGGGTACAAGGGCCCACTGTGCTCGGACTGCACGGATGGCTATTTCAGCTTGCTGAAGAACGAGACCCACAGCGTCTGCAAAGGTAGGCCCTGGGCGTCCAGCAGTGCAACCATGGAACAGGCCCGTAAGAGCTGCACAGCGGGGTGTGGGCCAGCCCCAGGTCCTGAGAGCTCAGGATCCCTTCCCAAGGCCCTCCAGAAAGGTTTGAGGTTAGCTGTGTAGGGAATGGGTCTGTCTCCTACAATACGTGCCCTTGGTTTTCTGTGGGGAATGGGGGCAGAGGTCTTGATCAGAGCCTTGAGCTCTGGATAGCTTTTTTTCCCCCCGCTCCTCACTAGTGCTCTCTACCACTTGAGCCACACATTTGAGTCGGCAACTCTTTTTCTACCGCATTTGTGTGAGCAACAGCACTTGGTGTGTGCTTGTGCTGCGGCTTGAATCCAGGCCTCCTGCTTGCTCACCGTGCCTGTTTAGCTAGCACTCTCCCACTGATACCATGCCTCTAGCACAGTCCTTGCTTCCTTGACCTGGTCCTGGGTCTGGGCCACGCCCTTTGGTTCCCTAGCACCTTCCTACAAAAGGCTTCCTCCTGTGGCTGGTGGGCAGGGTCTCAGGCACCCTACGAGGTACTCTGAGGTCAGGGTATGGGGTGTGAAAGCCAGGATGGGCACAGCCCCTTGGACAGTTGCATCTGAAAACTAGAAGGCCCCTTAGAGGCCATGTGGGAGGCCCCCCGCCCATGCAGCTCCTTTCCCAAGGACACCTGCTCCTCACCCTGGCATTGTCAGTGCCCAGGGCTAGGGCCAGCAGCCCACCTGGCTCTTCCCGAGTGAGGTCAGATCTGCCTGTCAGTACCACGGTCATGTCCACCTCCTGGTCTTCCACAGCTGGCGTGAGTGTGCAGGACGGCGTCCCCAGCTAAAAGTCTGCACACACCCCTTGTGTGGTGCCTTCCCTTCCTGTCACTGCCCAGCCAGGGGGGCTGGGTCTTTCGCTGACCCCCGCCGATGTTGGGGTCACTCAGGAGGGGTGGTGGCAAGATGGCTCCCCACCATGGAGTGGGGGCCACAGTTTGCTGCTGTTCTTCCTGCTTGTGAGAACACCAAGAGCCCGAGAGGGGGTTGAGCACTGGTGAGCATCGTGCTCCACGAGGTGGCCCGCATGGAGCTTTTCTCCTGAGGTCTGGGTGATTTTTGTTTGTTTGTTTGTTTGTTGGTCGTGGGGGCCTGAACTCTGGGCCTGGGCGCTGTCCCTCAGCTCTTCAGCTCAAGGCCAGCACTCTACCACTTGAGCCACAGCGCCACTTCCGGCTTTTTCTTTTTTTTTTTTGCTTATGTGGCGCTGAGGAATCGAACCCAGGGCCTCAGGCATGCAAGACAAGTGCTCTTCCACTGAACCAACTTCCCAGCCTCTGGGTATTTTTTTTTTCTTTTGTACAAGGGTTTGAGCTCAGGGCTTATGCACGTTAGGCAGGGGTGTGAGCTCTTATGTCACGATTCCAGTCTCAGGAGCTGATTTTGGTTTTCTGCTAGGAATTTTTTGTTCATTGTTTACTATTTTCCCACCGAACTTGAGTCCCTCGTTCCCAAAGTGAGTGTCTCTCTGTGGGAAACGTGAGTCCTTCCTAAGGCGGCCACCTTTGCCTACAGCGTGCCATGAGTCCTGCAAGACATGCTCAGGCCCGACCAGCAGAGACTGCCACGAGTGCGAAGTGGGCTGGCTGCGCATAGAGGGCGCCTGCACGGGTGAGAACGCCGCGTGGGGAGGGGGGCTGCACAGGTGAGGACACCGCGTGGGGAGGGGGAGGGCACCTCCTGTGGAGGGGGGCTGCGTGAGGAGCACCCGCACCGGTGGGAACACCACGTGGGGGGGGCTGCATGTGTGCTGCTGGCTCCTTTCCATTGCTCTGTCTCTGCCTGTAGCCCATGTGTACCCCAACCATTCTCAGGCTCCCAGCAGGACTGGGCTGCTCCAGCGGGCTCCCCATCAGAGCTGGCCTTGTTGGGAGCCCAGTGGCTAGAGACTGCCGGTCTATGCTGCCCTGGAAAAGTGACCACAAAAACAACAAACAAAAACCCACTCTGTCTCAAGCGTGAACCCAGATCTACCTTGTGCCTGGTGCACAAGGTAAACTGAGGCACTTCTCCGCAGGGAACTGTGAGCCAGCAGGTGGTTGCGGATGAACTTTAGTAGTTGTGAAGGTGCCACCACCCTGACTCTGAGCCCCTTGGGGCTGGCTCTGCCTGGCCAGGGAAGCCCAGGCCCGTCACCTGCCCTCCACCTGCAGGAGGCGCTGGCCTCCAATCCCGTGCTGCAGGCAGGAGTCCCAGCCCTGCCCTGGCTCTGCTGGCTGGGCTCCTGCGTGTCCTTCCACCCCTGCTTCTGTGTGGCGCCCTCTGCCTGAAGGTGCTGCTGCTGTGGCCCTCTGTGGGGCTGGCAGGAGCCTGGCCCCGCCTTTGCAGCCCAGGTGCCTGTGGCTGATCTGGGGCTGGTTGTAGTTTCAGCCTCAGCAGTGCGGGAGAGGGGGGGCAGGGGGGGCTATGCAAATGCAGGGCCCAGCCCCAAACTGGCTTCCTATCTCAAGACGGGGCAGGCAGGCCCCCAGCCCCAAACTGGCTTCCTATCTCAGGCCGGGCAGGCAGGCCCCCAGCCCCAAACCGGCTTCCAATCTTGGGCAGGGCAGGCAGGCCCCGCTGTGGCATGAGCTGTGTGGCAGCACGGAGCGCTCACATGCTGGCTGTTTGCCGTGGTCCTCACTGCAGCCCCTCCGTCCTGCCCCGCCTGGCCTGTCCCCTGAGGACGGTGTGGGGAAGCAGTCGGTGGGGAAGGCGGGTCCTCCGTGTGGAGACCTCCCTCCTGTCTGAGGTGCTCCTCACTCGCAGTTGTGCTGTTCTCTTCCAGATCTGGATGAGTGTGCGGCCGAGACACCTCCCTGCGGCGACGCGCAGTACTGTGAGAACGTCAGTGGCTCCTACACGTGTGAAGGTGGCCTGGGCGCTGCGTGCAGTGCCACGTGTGCTCTGGGGCGGGAGCTCGTGCGGCCTGCGACGGTTCTGTGTCTTCCTTTTTAAACTCTGTGGCTTCTCAGCAGAGATGCTAGTACTCTATCCACCTTAACATTTCATGTGTCTGGACACTGGTGCTCACACCTGTGGTCCCAGCTACTCAGGAGGCTGAGATCTGGGGATAGCTGTTCAAAGCCAGGCCAGGCAGGAAAGACCAGGAGACTCTTATCTCCAATTAACTACCCAAAAACTGGAAGTGGACTGTGGCTCAAGTGGTAGAACACCAGCCTTGAACACAAAAGCTCAGAGTCAGTGCCCAGGCCCTGAGTTTAAGCCCTAGGTCTGGCACCAAAAAAAAAAAAAAGAATATGGCAATGTAAGTAACAGACGCTGGCTGCAGGAAAAGCAGGCCTCTCTGTGCATCGTGGTTTTCTCATCACAATAGTGATTTTGGAGCATGTCATGATTTCATACTTTTTTGAGCAGTCTGTTGTTGGGCATCTGAGTCAGCTGAACGTTTCACTGCCTTCTCAGTACAGCTTTCAGCTTGGTTTCTTGGGCTGCTGTGGAGAGCCCCCCTCCTGTCCCGGCAGGGGGTGTGGCTGCCCCTGCACCTCCCTGCGCCTCAGACCCAGGCCAGGGCCTCAGGTAGCCCCCCCCCCCGGGGTTCTTGCCACACTCCCAGTGCAGACACAGACCAAGCTGGGGCTGCAGCCTTTTGGACGTGGCTCTGAGGAAGTGTGCGCCCCACAGGACGGGTGCAGAGCTGCCCTGTCCTGACTCCTGGACCCTGTGTCGACGTTGAAGTGTGCACATCTGCTGGAAGCCCAACTCCAGACCCACCTTGCTGCGGGGAAAGTGGTCTGATGTCTGTCTCTCTCTTTCTAGAATGTGACTCCACCTGTGTGGGTTGCACAGGGAAAGGCCCAGCCAATTGTAAAGAATGTGTCGCCGGCTACACCAAGGAGAGTGGACAGTGTACAGGTCAGTGTGCACATGGAGGTGCGGCCGCCTCGGAGCGGGGGCTGTCCTGCTCTGTGTGCAGTGTGCAGCTGCAGCGCCTCCGTCTCCCCAGGGGGCAAGGGTCAGCTCAGATGCCGTGTGCGGGCGCAGACACACGCAGGAGCCCCGGCCTCAGCCCCATGGCGCAGGGTCACCTGAGCCTGCTGCTCTGCCGCTTGGCCGCCCGGCCTCGGAAGACAAGATGCCCTCCCTCAGAGTCGCCCCACCTCCGCTCCTTTTTCTGATGCGAGCCTGAGCTCAGTGCTTCAGTGAATGAATTATGAGTGAATTCGTAATCTGTCATGGGCATGCTTGCTAAATGAAGCAGTTTATTGAATTTTAGTATTTATTTCAGATATAGACGAATGCTCGCTAGCAGAAAAAGCATGTAGGAGGAAAGATGAAAATTGCTACAATACTCCAGGGAGTTTTGTCTGCGTGTGTCCTGAAGGGTTTGAAGAGACCGAAGATGCATGTGTGCGGACGGCAGAGGGTGGTGAGTGGCGCATTCCCGGAGGACGCAGCCTGTCCTTCAAGGGCCCGGCCTGCCTGGCACGGCTGCCCAGGCTAGGAAATGCCAAGAAAAGTCAGTGGAGAGCGGGCTTGGCTTGTCCAGAAGGGGGCAGAGTGCAGCCCCACTGCCCCGGCGAGCGTCCCTCCCAAGCCACGTGGTCTGCTGCGCAGTCTCTGGCCGGCCTCCCCTTCATAAGGCCGCCTGGCACTCCGTCCGCCTCCTCACCTGCAGAGATCCCATTTCAGCTGCCGGGTCGAGGCTAATCTCTGGGACACATCTTGCAGAAGTTCTGGGGTGTGGTGAGGGGACAGGGCGATGCCCACAGGGATAGTGGCCGACAGCTCACGCTGTAATCCCAGCGACTCAAGAGGCTGAGATCTGAGGATTGTGGTTCAAAGCCAGCCCAGCAGGAAAGTCAGTGAGACTCTTACCTCCAGTTAACCACCAGAAAAACCCAACAAAAAACCAGTGTAGCTGTGGCTCAAAGTAGTAGACTGCTGGCCTTGGGCAAAAAAAGCTCAGGGACAGCACCTAGGCCCTAAATTCAAGCCCCATGACAGACAAAAAAAAAAAAAGATGCGGAGGAGATAGATTCTAGAAACCACATGCCGCCTGGGTGCCATGGGCCAGGGAGGGGCTTTGCAAGCTCAGCAGCTGGCTGCCTCCTGCCCCGCCTGCCTCCCATGCCTGCGGTGCCCACCCTACCCCTCGGCCCTGCTGTGGCCTCCGCCGTAGGAGACTGAGTGCTGGGGCATGTCCCGAGCTGTCTTTGGAGGCCACTGCGTCCGGAGGAGGCCTGATGCAGTCCCCACGGTGTGGGCCCACTGATGGGTATCAGGACACCAGCTAGGCCCTCCCCTCGGCTGCAGTGCTGTCACTCGTGATCTGTGTGTCTTCCGACAGAAGTCACCGAGGAACACCCCACAGAGCCACCCTTTCGGGAGGACCTGTGATGTCCTCCTGGGCTCAGAAGCCAGACTCCCTCTAAATGATTGAGATGATCTCTTATGGGAAGCGGAGCTGTGGACGCCGCAGGAGAGGCTGCCTGCCCTGAACGGCTGACCCCCACCGGCCTCGGAAAAGCTGCATTTCCTGGTTGTTACACAGACTCGTATATTTTGCTACTGTTCTTTATAATAAAATGGACCGTTGAAGGTAGTCAGGAACGAGACGCTTGCGTTTGTCTCACTGAGAACTCGTGGGCTTTTCACACCGTTGGCCTTGCACCAGTCCCAGGGCACTGGGAAAAGGAATGAATCTGCAGGGACCTGGAGCCAGCGGACCCTGCCTGTGGGGCTCCACCTCGGGCCGCCCATGGGGAAGGCAGAAGATGCTTGCCTTAAAGGCCTGGACTCCAGCTGTGGTGCTGGACAGAGGCGGAGCAGGGACTCACTGTCCAGCAGAGTCCCACGGGGGCATTGGCCCCTGGCCCCTCGCTCCCCGTTCCTCCCCTGTGGCAATGAGGTGAGCTTTCAGCGGGCCCACCAGCCATGGGCGGAAACCCCACAACTGCCCGCACGTTGCTTACCTCAGATTCTTTTGAGCAGCAGCTGACAGGCAGGCATTCCACCAGCAGGCCTAGGCAGGCCTCCCGTGGTCAGCGTTGTCTCCCACAGTAGAGAGGCTGCGACTCGGGGGCATCTCCAGGACCCTGTTCCAGCCCCTCTCTGTCCCCAGGGCTCTGGCCTGCAGGGTGGGCTGACCGTCCCCTCTCCCTGTCCCGCGGGGCTCTGGACTGCAGGGTGGGCTGACTGTCCCCTCTCCCTGTCCCGCGGGGCTCTGGCCTGCAGGGTGGGCTGACCATCACCCCTCTCTGTCCCCAGGGCTCTGGCCTGCACAGTGGGCTGACGGTCCCCTCTCCCTGTCCCGCGGGGCTCTGGACTGCAGGGTGGGCTGACCGTCATTCCTCCTGTCCCGCGGGGCTCTGGCCTGCAGGGTCCCCTGCAGGTGCTAGGGCCTACTTGGCCACCCTCACCCCACTCCCACCACGCACCCGTCCCCATGAGGGCTTGGCGCCCCTCCAGCTGCGCCAGGCCAGTGCAGGGAGCGGCCGCCTGCCCGGCCTTCCCGTGCTGCCTGGCACCACCAGCTGTCTGCTCTCGTGCTCATTCGCTCCTGGACACTGGCCGTGGGCCCTGGGTGAACAAGAAGGCCACTGCAGGGACAGCCCAGTTCCCCTGACCACACAGCTCCAGGCAGGCCAGTGTGTCCACCTGGGCCTGTGCACCTGCGGCCCCGTCGCTCAGAGCAGAGCACAGAGGGCTGCGGCGCTCCTGACCAGGTAGGGTGGGAGCCTTAACGAGACGCAGGCAGTGACCCATCAGGTGGGGTGGCAAAGACCCCCACGCCCTGAGGGCGGGACACAGGACATCTGCACCTGGGGCACCGTGGGTCAGGGTCCAGGCGGCTCCCGGGAGGGCATTCCGGGCTCCAGGCAGGCGTGTGCCCGGGGTGTGCCCTGCCTTAGGCCCCAGACACCAGCTGGGGCCTGGCCAAGGGTGTGTTGCCAGCAGGGGGCACTGTGGGCCGCTGGGACACCCCTGCCGGAGGGATGGCTCACCTGGGTCAGATGAACCTTCACCTGACTGGTGCTTCTGCCCTCAGCTGTCCTCAAGGCCCTATGTGCCGCCCTTCCCCCACCTCCCCTGCCCGATTCCTCCCCTCAGCTTCCCTGGGCCTCTGGGTGGGGAAGGGAGGAGGCTGCTTGGCCCTTTGTCCAGCGTGAGGAAGCCCGGCCTGCAGAGTGGAAAGGTTCTCTGGGCTCAGCACGCCCAGTGCAGCCCCCCTGCCCCTAGCAGGGGACAGAGCGCTGACCGTTGCAGACGCCTGCCTCCGGGGGTGGGGCACTGCAGGTGGCTCTCGGCTCTGGGCTCTCACGGTAGGTAGTACAATGTCTGACTGGCAAAGGGAGCGGGTGGGGAGGGTGAGGCCAGGCTGCCCCTGCGGTGCTGCCCTGTGCCTGGGACAGGGCGCCAGGCACAGATGGACCCTAAGGGTCCGCGCAGATGCCCTCCGGCAGCCTGGCTTCGGCCAAAGAGAAGGGCACACGGTCCTTCCAAGAGATGAGCTGGGATTGGCCCCAGAGGTGCCGTGCTGGGCGCAGCTCGGGCCTGGTGGGCCAGGGCTCCTGCCGCCTGCGTTTCGTGCTGCTCATGCCAGCCGCAGTGGGGCTGCCGTCACGTGGCCAAGCCACTGCATCTGTGCGGCTTCCTCTCCCACTGGGCTGCCCACGTCCCTGCTGCCGTCCCCCCCTCCCCCACTCCTCCCTCCCATCTCCTCCTCCTCCCCACACCTGCCAGCCCGCACACCCGCCAGCCCGGTCACCTGCCACAAGTCCATTTCCCCTTCCACTTGAGCGGGAGCCCACGGTGCCCTCCCCACGTGCCATGCCTCTGAGTGCTGTTGGCCTGGTCCACGCACTGCTGACGTGAGTGGCGGGCACCCTGTGGTGGGGCCAATGCCAGTCGGGTCTGCCCCAGCTAGAGATGATGAGGCCTTACAACAGGACAGGTCCGAGAGCCAGGGCCGGTGGCCGAGTGGCCGTGCCACGTGGGTGATGTCTACAGCCACGGAGCCGTGAGACCTCCCATCCGTGGGGTGGCAGCTGGTGTGCTGTGATGCCCCCTTGGGCTCTGCCCCATTCCGAGCTGCCCTTTCAGGCCCGACTTCCTGGGTGGGCACACGCTGCTTGCTGACCTGCCGCCTGGCACCGGACACCCGTGTGGGGGATGGGAGAGGCACCGCGCTCCCTCTCCTTCCTGCAGATTGCAGGTCACTGAGGACGCGCCCCAGTGTGTGCACCGACCCTGAGCGGGGAATGCAGGACCCTGCCCTCGGACGAGGCTGTTTCTGTGGTGTGGACTCTCCCCCGTTCCCCCGTCTGCAGTGGTCAGATCAGTGGATGACCAGAGGTACCCCAGACCCCCCAACCTCTGGGCCCTCAACCGCGTCCCCGCTGCCCCAGGACAGCGCACACCTGGCTCACTCTCCCCGTGAGGCCCTCTCAGGAACCCGCCTGGACCTCCTTGTCAGGACAGCTACGGTCAAAGTCCACCAACAGGCCTGCGCTGCTCTGTCCGGAGGCTGGGCATGACTGCATGACCACGGGCGCACTGGCTCTCCACCGCTGGGTGGAGGCTGCCATCCACCAGGCCCGCACACATCAGCATCTGCTTAAGCCCAGCGCCCAGGTTCCTCTGTCCAGCCAAACTTGACCAGGGATGTGGGCTCCTCTGTAGTTGGGGGTTCTGGGTCTGAGACCAGGCTTGGGTCTGGAAGCTGGGCAGGGGCCATGTCTCCATCCCGGGTGACTGCCCTGGCCTCTCATCATGCATCCTCAATTTCCATGCCGTAGGCTGGTCCCTGGTTGGCCGTGTGTCGGCTCCAAGGAACACTGTGTTCTGCAAACCTTCTCCACAGCCCGCGTGGTCCCAGGTCAATGCTGCCGCTGTCACATCCCTCAGCCAGGGCGGCACTGTGCTGCCATCCACACCACTGTCACAGAGCTGCCCTGAGACTCCCCCATCGGCTAGGACCGCCAGTCACCTGCCTCCGTCTCTCTAAGGACCTTCCCTGGGCGCCGGTCCATGGTGTGTCCTCTGTGCTGTGTCCTTCACAGTGCATCCTCCATGCATGTCCTCTGTCCTGTGTCTCCGTGGTGTGCTCTCCAGGGCAGAGATGTTTGCTCTCTGGCCTGTCTGCCCCTATTTTCAGTATCTTTTCCAGAGCTCCACCACAGCCCGAGGCCACGCCTCTCTGCCCTTACCGCGCAGTGTATTGTGATCGTGTTCTTTGTCCCCCACGGCCCAGTGTTGTAGGTTTTTGTTTTTGTTTTGTCGCACATGGGGCTTGAACTCAGCCTGGGCGCTGTCCCTCAGCTCTTCAGCTTAAAGCTAGCACTCTACCGCTTGAGCCACAGCACCACTTCTGGTTTTCTGGTGGTTTATTGGAGATAAGAGTTTCACGGGGGGTGGGGGGGCTGGGAAGGTGGCTCAGTGGTACACTTGCCTTGCATGCTTGAAGCCCTGGGTTTGATTCCTCAGCACCACAAAAGCAGAAAAAAAAGCTGGAAGTGGCTCTGTGGC